GACTTCTGTAACTTCACCTTGTTAAACACACTGACAGACTGTTGTTGTCCATGTGTGATTGTATCACATCTGGGTGGTGACTGGACTTCTGTGACTTCACCTTGTTAAACACACTGACAGACTGTTGTTGTCCATGTGTGATTGTATCACATCTGGGTGGTGACTGGACTTATGTAACTTCACCTTGTTGAACATACTGACAGACTGTTGTTGTCCATGTGTGATTGTATCACATCTGGGTGGTGACTGGACTTCTGTAACTCCACCTTGTTAAACACACTGACAGACTGTTGTTGTCCATGTGTGATTGTATCACATCTGGGTGGTGACTGGACTTCTGTGACTTCACCTTGTTAAACACACTGACAGACTGTTGTTGTCCATGTGTGATTGTATCACATCTGGGTGGTGACTGGACTTCTGTGACCCCAACTTGTTGGACACACTGACAGACTGTTGTTTGCCCATGGCTTGGAGTTATCTGCCTATTTAAACCACTGTCTTCTTCTTGCTCACCTATCTTTAACTTCTGAATACGGAACCTGGAGACACTGTCTTTATGAGAACGCTCAACTTACATGGACAAATAGGTACTTAACAATATACTTAACAATATACATAACAATATACTTAACAATATACTTAACAATATACTTAACAAATTCATGGATAAACAGCCTAACAAAGATATATACCACAAATACATGGTTGAGTGATCTTATCAAATATATAAGTAAAAAGTAAAGTGTATAAGTAAAAAGTAAAGTGTATAAGTAAAAAGTAAAGTGAATAAGTAAAAAGTAAAGTGTATAAGTAAAAAGTAAAGTGTATAAGTAAAAAGTAAAGTATATAAGTAAAAAGTAAAGTGTATCAGTAAAAAGTAAAGTGTATAAGTAAAAAGTAAAGTGTATAAGTAAAAAGTAAAGTGTATAAATAAAAAGTAAAGTATATAAGTAAAAATTAAAGCGAATAAATAAAAAGTAAAGTGTATAAGTAAAAAGTAAAGTGTAAAGGACCCTCTTCCACACCTTTAGGTGTATTGGGCATATAAGGCTAGGTCTATATTTTAAAGATCAATCAGCAATTGGTGAGTGATGTGGTCAGCACCACAACGACCACCTTTACTTCCAAAGACTATAACTGGTACTCGCTCAAGGCTGGATCGCCGTGGGAGCCAAGGTCATTTTTGAAAAAAGTCTGACTCCGTCAGAATCCACAACATTCTGATCTGCAGGTAAGCATCTAGCCGCTACACCACAGTGACTCACTATCAGCGATATACTTCACACAAATACGGGTGAGAGGTTCTATAAGAGATATACTTCACACATATACGGGTGAGAGGTTCTATCAGAGATATACTTCACACATATACGGGTGAGAGGTTCTATCAGAGATATACTTCACACATATACGGGTGAGAGGTTCTATCGGAGATATACATCACACACATACGGGTGAGAGGTTCTATCAGAGATATACTTCACACATATACGGGTGAGAGGTTCTATCAGAGATATACTTCACACATATACGGGTGAGAGGTTCTATCAGAGATATACTTCACACATATATGGGTGAGAGGTTCTATCAGAGATATACTTCACACATATACGGGTGAGAGGTTCTATCAGAGATATACTTCACACATATACGGGTGAGAGGTTCTATCAGAGATATACTTCACACATATACGGGTGAGAGGTTCTATCAGAGATATACTTCACACATATATGGGTGAGAGGTTCTATCAGAGATATACTTCACACATATATGGGTGAGAGGTTCTATCAGAGATATACTTCACACATATATGGGTGAGAGGTTCTATCAGAGATATACTTCACACATATACGGGTGAGAGGTTCTATCAGAGATATACTTCACACATATACGGGTGAGAGGTTCTATCAGAGATATACTTCACACATATACGGGTGAGAGGTTCTATCAGCGATATACTTCACACATATACGGGTGAGAGGTTCTATCAGAGATATACTTCACACATATACGGGTGAGAGGTTCTATCAGAGATATACTTCACACATATACGGGTGAGAGGTTCTATCAGAGATATACTTCACACATATACGGGTGAGAGGTTCTATCAGAGATATACTTCACACATATATGGGTGAGAGGTTCTATCAGAGATATACTTCACACATATATGGGTGAGAGGTTCTATCAGAGATATACGTCACGCATATACGGGTGAGAGGTTCTATCAGAGATATACTTCACACATATATGGGTGAGAGGTTCTATCAGAGGTATACTTCACACATATACGGGTTAGAGGTTCTATCAGATGTATACTTCACACATATACGGGTGAGAGGTTCTATCAGAGATATACTTCACACATATAGGTGGGAGAGGTTCTATCAGAGATATACTTCACACATATAGGTGGGAGAGGTTCTATCAGAGATATACTTCACACATATAGGTGGGAGAGGTTCTATCAGAGATATACTTCACACATATAGGTGGCAGAGGTTCTATCAGAGATATACTTCACACATATAGGTGGCAGAGGTTCTATCAGAGATATACTTCACACATATAGGTGGCAGAGGTTCTATCAGAGATATACTTCACACATATAGGTGGGAGAGGTTCTATCAGAGATATACTTCACACATATAGGTGGCAGAGGTTCTATCAGAGATATACTTCACAATTATACATGTGAGAGGTTCTATCAGAGATATACTGGGGTCCTAATGGAGTAATGATGCGCAATACAAGACTCTTAATGTCTATTAGCCTCACTTGCTGAAGCCTACCTCACCTTCACGTGGTGGACCCTGTTCTTCCCAGCAATCCAGTTGAAAATTGGGGTCTCAACCCCCAGCGGGAAACTGGATGGGACAACAAACGAGGTAAAGGCAAAGGGATGAGCCTACTCTCCCTCTCAAGAGATCCTGAAGTCGGAAATACTGGACCAGAAGGCAGATCAAAAACCACAGTACTACGAAACCCCACGCTATATATATGATTACACCGTCAGACAAATTTAATGTTGGTGCTCGCCCTGTGGAGCTCCACCAGGCAGGTGCAGTGTCGAGTTCTGAATCTTGACAGAATCCACCCCCAGCTACCGGAGGACCTCCTAGACCGTCTTGTGGAGTCAGGAGACGGCGGAGGATAGCTACTGACCAAAACCAGTTAAACAGAAAAGATCCCAAATTGCCTTTTGTCATAATGCACTGGAATGCAGAGGGGGTCAGCAGTAAGCAGGCTGGCACAGCAAAAAGATGGAGCTGGAAAACATCCTCTATGAAAAGCATGTCAGTGTGTGCTGCATCCAAGAGACCCATTTGCAGGCAGATCAGATATTTAAAGTGAGAGGCTACCAGTGCTTCAGATCTGATAGACAAGGCAGGCAGAAAGGAGGAGTACTTACCCTTGTAAAAAATGGTATCCATCCATGCGAGAAAATGTCTTATATGGATGGAGCTGAGTACCAACTCCTGCAGCTTAAGACAGACAAAGTGGAATTAGACCTCCTCAACTACTACTGTCTTAATGACAAATAGTTAAGCCCCAGCTCTGTGCCGGTACCAGATACCAACTTTATTGCAGTTGGAGACTTCAACAGTCATTCACAGAGCTGGGGCTATAACCATTTTGACAATAGGGGTGAAGAGGTGGAAACATGGCAAGATGACCACTCTCTGATCCTGATCAATGCCCCCTCAGATAACGTCAACCCCAGATCTTGCCTTCTCTACCCTAGATATATCTGGAATGATAAGTTGAGAGGTGGGAGACCAGCTGGGGGGCAGTGACCATCGCCCAATTTTTTTTACTGTCCAGAATATACCAGTTAATTCAGGCCCAGTCATCACAAGATGAAACTACAAGAAAACCAACTGGGGCCTGTACAGACACAGGACAAGCACATTGTTGTCTGCTCTTAAGGTACAAAATAGGTTTATTAATGCTATAGTGCACGATTTCAATAGAAGTATTCTTCAAGCTGCAAAAGAAGCAATCCCCAGAGGCTGTCGACACAACTACAGACCGTACTGGTCCAGCATACTCCAGGAATGTCAGGAAACAATTAATCAGGCTAGAATGGATGCAGAATCCCAACCTTCACCTGACGACCACACCAAATGGAAAAAGGCTGTAGCAGTGTTCCAGAGAACTAAACTTGAAGAAAAACGGAAAAGCTGGAGGAATAAAACAGGAGCTCTAAACCTTGATAAAGATAGCAAGAAACTCTGGAGATTAGCCAAATCACTCAATGAAGAGAGTTTCTCTCCAAGACAATCACGCTAAATGATGGTGACAAAATCTTCAGAGGAAAACAAGCTGCAGATTTGTTTGCCAGAACATACAGTGTTGAAAGCAACCTGACCCTTAATGAAAACCATCAGAGAGAAATAAGGGAAGAAATACAAACAAATAAGAGACAGACAGATACTCCTGCCTCTGTGAGGGAGTCATTTACCATGGGTGAACTACAAAATTCCATCTTTAGGCTTAAGTTAAAAAAGTCTGCAGGTCAAGATGAAATCAGCAACGAAATGCTAATCAACCTGAGCTCATCTGCTAAAGTAAAGCTGCTGGAAATTTTCAACATCAGCTGGGAGAAAGGTTTGGTGCCTCAAGTTTGGAGAGAAGCCATCACAATACCCATTTAAAAAACGGAAAAATTAAGACCCAGGCTTCAAGCTATAGCCCAATTAGTCTCACAAGCTGTTCGTCCACTTCTGGACTTTCTTGTTCCAGAACGTGAGCTTTGCGTGCACATACGTTTTACAGATCTAGCTTGTTTTTATGCAGACTGTTGATTCGTTGCCTCCATGACCTATGCACTCTGGCTTCAAAGGAAACCCTAATTAGTTGTCTCTTATGACATGCTAGTAACGGAGGCCGTGGGTCTGTTCTTCTTTACGGAACATCAAATACACACACAACGATGACGTTTTGCGATTTCCGGCTTGTATCGCTCACTGTGTGATCACACAACAACAAATACAATGCCACCGACCGCCGGCAAAAAACCGTTATTTCCAACCACACCCGACCCTGTCACGGATGTAAGCTTTCACGTTTTCTTTTTATGACACATTTGTAATGATGAAATTTCTGTGGTTACAGTAAAACTACTTTTGATTTGATGGACTTGGGAGTTAGGATATACGGATAAATCGGCATAGCAAAAAAAGAGACGCACAATCGACAATCACAATGACAGTCAGAGGACTTGCTAATCAACGTAACTTATTCAACTATTAGCTACTGGACGCTGGGGTTTATATATTGAGGGGTGGAGTGCAGTAGCGATAACCAAACTAACTAACGAACTACTTTTAACTGCGTATGACTGAGTCGGCTGTTCAAGTTTAACCCTACCAGACTTGAGGCCCTGAACCTAACTGTCCCCATACCTGAGCTCTTGGGCAATAACGTAAAAAAAACAAAAACCAACATTTGAAATGGCTAGAATAAGATGAAACTTGGAGTCATTGTGAAAAAATAGGTTTACCTTTCATCTAGCGCCAATATTTCACCTATGTGTGCCAATCATCCCCGCAGGATTAGCCTTGTTTCACAAAGTGAGCACCAGATGTTGCTGTTTGAGGGCCACACCCTCTTCTCCTACTATCGATCTAGTTCTAGATCTATAATTTTCATGATTCTTCTCATCACTCAAGCTCTCGCTGACTGTCACTTGAACACAGAACATATTCTTTATGAAATTCTGACTCCTCATAGTCTGAATCAACCAACGTATCGATCACCCGTGAAAAGCCTAGACCTACTTCACTTTGTGTCAAAGTGCTTGGTTCATCAGCCGCTCGTTTCATTGTGAATTTTCAGAATGTGTTCACCTTAAAGCACACAAAGTAAATCCAAACACACATGGGCAGCCGTTCGCAATGACTTAGCCCTCTTAGCACGGATGGGCGGATGTCTGGCCAAAAACACGGAACGGCCAATCATCGGCCCAATCGTGTTTCGCCTCGACACGCTAAGAAATCTCCTATTTTGAAACACTGAAAGCGATTCTTTTATAATTACTGCTTTTACACATGGCAACTTTCGAGTGTTTGGTATCGAAGTGAAAATTGTTGTTGAATTTTTCAGATAGTGACCTGAACCGCTAAAAGTATGTCTGACTCGTATGTTTCTGCCCCTAAACTTGATGTTGATAAAACATTTGAATCAAATGCTGACACTAATTCTGTTGATACTGATGCAGGATCTAGTGTTAGTAGTAATAGTGGGGAATCAGATGGGGACGCTGTTGTGTTCAGACCACAGCCCAACCATGGCTCAGGGTATATGCAGCCGAAGATGTTGACACTCCGGCACATCCATTTCTTGAGCTGACTGATGGTCAAAAACACATGTCACCTAAAGATATTATTGCTGTTTCATATATATATATATATATGAACTTCAATCTATATCCTTCAAATAAATATATTATTTCATGGGGGTCAGAATAACAGAAATGTGTCAAAAAAATAAAATAAAGTTATAACAAAATTTACTGAAAAAATGCTCCGTGTTTTTGGCTAGACATCTGAAAAACTTCCCGTGCTAAAAGGGTTAACACGAGGTTTGATCACGATTGGTTGGTTATTTTTAGTTTGTGACGAGTTTTATCACGTGGTACGCAAAGTACCAAAGGTTAGGTACAGTGATTTAGCGACAGATTGGGAAACTACAAGAAAAGCGGTACAGCGGACTGGTAGAGTTAAGACTGAAACTGACAAACTTGTGAATCTGAATGGAAATGTTTGTTTCATAAAATTTTTTTTTACAATTTTTTTGTAATATGTTGTATCATGCCCTGCAAGTAACTTTGTGAATAATTTTTTAAAATAATCAAATATAAATAATACCACACACACACACATATAAAACACCTGCTTAAAAGTTAAATAGTAAAGTTGTCAACAACTAGCTCAAACTCAGACATATAATAATAATTATTTCACATATAATAAACAAACAGGTAATGGCACCAATAGAAAGAAGTAGTCGGATAGAAGGACACCCTAGACAACATAAAATCAAAAGCTATGGTTACCATGCTGGGAATTGAAATCGTCACCTATTATTATTTCATTGCCGCTGTTTTCTTCAGCTTGTCAAATACAATAGAGGCGGCTCTCAAATAGTTGACTTTACTAGGTCTGGTTAATTATTGGTTGGATTGTGCAGCTAGTTTTCCTCTAGGAAATCTGTATGATTAGGTAGCTTTTCACGCCCAACCTCCTTAGTCACCCTTTCTTTTAGAACACATGGTACTTAACTGTATTATAGTTTTTACTTTGTTTATGGACTTGTTAATGTACGGATGATTCATATCAACAGATATATTAATTTATGAAATAATTGTCTGCTCACCTCGGGTTTAAACAAATAAATTATGATAGAGAGAGGAATGAGGTCATCCTATGATACTGACACTTGATTATGAATCTCTGAATGCTTGCTGCATCAGCATTTTTGTGTGTCACGCGAGTCAGCATTTCCACTTAATACATTACAGCTGCAAGTTAGACTTGAGTGTGTGGACAGTACTGTGTCGGCAGTTCATGATACAGCTGCAAGTTAGACTTGAGTGTGTAGACAGTACTGTGTCGGCAGTTCATGATACAGCTGCAAGTTAGACTTGAGTGTGTAGACAGTACTGTGTCGGCAGTTCATGATACAGCTGCAAGTTAGACTTGAGTGTGTAGACAGTACTGTGTCGGCAGTTCATGATACAGCTGCAAGTTAGACTTGAGTGTGTAGACAGTACTGTGTCGGCAGTTCATGATACAGCTGCAAGTTAGACTTGAGTGTGTAGACAGTACTGTGTCGGCAGTTCATGATACAGCTGCAAGTTAGACTTGAGTGTGTAGACAGTACTGTGTCGGCAGTTCATGATACAGCTGCAAGTTAGACTTGAGTGTGTAGACAGTACTGTGTCGGCAGTTCATGATACAGCTGCAAGTTAGACTTGAGTGTGTGGACAGTACTATGTCGGCAGTTCATAAGTCTGTCTATGCAAACACATTTTTGATGTGGAAAGGAAGATTGTAAGCAGCGTCACTTCATCAGGAGTTTTAAACTGCAGGTGATCAAATAAACTGAAGAACAGGGCAATAGGTCAGCAGGTCATCATTCTGGTCCTCCACGGAGGACAGATCCATCAAGCTATGGTGGTCTCAGCAAAATGAACAAAGTAGAGCATACACAACATGGGACAGATCCATCAAGCTATGGTGGTCTCAGCAAAATGAACAAAGGAGAGCATACACAACATGGGACAGATCCATCAAGCTATGGTGGTCTCAGCAAAATGAACAAAGGAGAGCATACACAACATGGGACAGATCCATCAAGCTATGGTGGTCTCAGCAAAATGAACAAAGGAGAGCATACACAACATGGGACAGATCCATCAAGCTATGGTGGTCTCAGCAAAGTGAACAAAGGAGAGCATACACAACATGGGACAGATCCATCAAGCTATGGTGGTCTCAGCAAAGTGAACAAAGGAGAGCATACACAACACGGGACAGATCCATCAAGCTATGGTGGTCTCAGCAAAATGAACAAAGGAGAGCATACACAACATGGGACATATCCATCAAGCTATGGTGGTCTCAGCAAAATGAACAAAGGAGAGCATACACAACATGGGACAGATCCATCAAGCTATGGTGGTCTCAGCAAAATGAACAAAGGAGAGCATACACAACATGGGACAGATCCATCAAGCTATGGTGGTCTCAGCAAAGTGAACAAAGGAGAGCATACACAATATGGGACAAGTGCAAAATGGCTGAAATTAGAGACTGGTCCAAGACAAATTAGGAAAACGGCATTGCCGTTTCAGCAAAACGGATACGGATACAGTAAAGATAACCTGTGAGCATAATATTTGTCATTTTAAAGGAAGGTAAAGGGCGGGCGTTTTGTTACAGCCTTTAAAGTGGACTGTCTGAGCACACAACAAATGATGAAGCCAAGGGAGGGAATTTAAAAGCTTCAGAAAGTCAGTGAATAATTTTAAACAGTGGTTACATTTTTCTTTAAATCAGAGTTTTTTCCTGGAAAATATCTTTGCAGCTCCCTATCCAAGCACCAACAATCCTAGTTATTCAGCCAGGATCGGTGAACTTACGAATAGGTCGAGCCTCTGATGCCTTTCCAATTACCATCCCACACTGCATTGCAAGGAGATGTCCAGATCCAGAGAAACGTCTGCCAAATGACTATATGCTGCTCCGTCCAGAGTGCAGTGTATGTGTTGTGATGTTGTAATTGTAATCAATATTTGTTTCAACTTCAGATTCCTAGTCTTGTAAGTTGAGTTTAAACGTTAGTTGCGTATCCTCTACAGTGTGTTGCAGAACCAACCCTAGCAATTTTGGGCTGTTCTGGATTTTCTAGGCACATTTTACTTCAGTACTTTGCCACTGCTTTCTGAACAGTCTCGGTACCACTGTCAAACCTTTGGCTACTAAATGACCTGCATCTGGGATCAAACCTGGCGTTAAAAAGTGTGTTTGCAATGCCTAAGCCACAGATGCCGACTCTAAACTGGGGTAGCATGGGAATTTATAACCTTGTGGTGCTTCTGCTGGTCCAATAGTGTGTTCTATCTCTGCTTCTACCATGGAGTGTGTTCTATGTCTGCTTCTACCATGGAGTGTGTTCTATGTTTGCTTCTACCATGGAGTGATGTGTTCTATGTCTGCTTCTACCATGGAGTGTGTTCTATGTCTGCTTCTACCATGGAGTGATGTGTTCTATGTCTGCTTCTACCATGGAGTGATGTGTTCTATGTCTGCTTCTACCATGGAGTGTGTTCTATGTCTGCTTCTACCATGGAGTGATGTGTTCTATGTCTGCTTCTATCATGGAGTGTGTTCTATCTCTGCTTCTACCATGGAGTCTGTTCTATGTCTGCTTCTACCATGGAGTGTGTTCTATGTCTGCTTCTACCATGGAGTGTGTTCTATGTCTGCTTCTACCATGGAGTGTGTTCTATGTTTGCTTCTACCATGGAGTGTGTTCTATGTTTGCTTCTACCATCGAGTGTGTTCTATGTCTGCTTCTACCATGGAGTGTGTTCTATGTCTGCTTCTACCATGGAGTGTGTTCTATGTCTGCTTCTACCATGGAGTGTGTTCTATGTTTGCTTCTACCATGGAGTGTGTTCTATGTTTGCTTCTACCATGGAGTGTGTTCTATGTCTGCTTCTACCATGGAGTGTGTTCTATGTCTGCTTCTACCATGGAGTGTGTTCTATGTTTGCTTCTACCATGGAGTGTGTTCTATGTCTGCTTCTACCATGGAGTGTGTTCTATCTCTGCTTCTACCATGGAGTGTGTTCTATGTTTGCTTCTACCATGGAGTGATGTGTTCTATGCCTGCTTCTACCATGGAGTGTGTTCTATGTCTGCTTCTACCATGGAGTGTGTTCTATGTCTGCTTCTACAATGTAGTGTGTTCTATGTCTGCTTCTACCATCTAGTGTGTTCTATGTCTGCTTCTACCATCGAGTGTGTTCTATGTTTGCTTCTACCAAGGAGTGTGTTCTATGTCTGCTTCTACCATGGAGTGTGTTCTATGTCTGCTTCTACCATGGAGTGTGTTCTATGTTTGCTTCTACCATGGAGTGTGTTCTATGTCTGCTTCTACCATGGAGTGTGTTCTATGTCTGCTTCTACCATGGAGTGATGTGTTCTATGTCTGCTTCTACCATGGAGTGTGTTCTATGTCTGCTTCTACCATGGAGTGATGTGTTCTATGTCTGCTTCTATCATGGAGTGTGTTCTATCTCTGCTTCTACCATGGAGTCTGTTCTATGTCTGCTTCTACCATGGAGTGTGTTCTATGTCTGCTTCTACCATGGAGTGTGTTCTATGTCTGCTTCTACCATGGAGTGTGTTCTATGTTTGCTTCTACCATGGAGTGTGTTCTATGTTTGCTTCTACCATGGAGTGTGTTCTATGTCTGCTTCTACCATGGAGTGTGTTCTATGTCTGCTTCTACCATGGAGTGTGTTCTATGTCTGCTTCTACCATGGAGTGTGTTCTATGTCTGCTTCTACCATGGAGTGTGTTCTATGTTTGCTTCTACCATGGAGTGTGTTCTATGTTTGCTTCTACCATGGAGTGTGTTCTATGTCTGCTTCTACCATGGAGTGTGTTCTATGTCTGCTTCTACCATGGAGTGTGTTCTATGTTTGCTTCTACCATGGAGTGTGTTCTATGTCTGCTTCTACCATGGAGTGTGTTCTATGCTTCTACCATGGAGTGTGTTCTATGTTTGCTTCTACCATGGAGTGATGTGTTCTATGCCTGCTTCTACCATGGAGTGTGTTCTATGTCTGCTTCTACCATGGAGTGTGTTCTATGTCTGCTTCTACAATGTAGTGTGTTCTATGTCTGCTTCTACCATCGAGTGTGTTCTATGTCTGCTTCTACCATCGAGTGTGTTCTATGTCTGCTTCTACCATCGAGTGTGTTCTATGTCTGCTTCTATCATTAAGTGACGTGTTCTATGTCTGTTTCTACCATGTAGTGTGTTCTATGTCTGCTTCTACCATCGAGTGTGTTCTATGTCTGCTTCTACCATGGAGTGTGTTCTATGTCTGCTTCTACCATGAAGTGTGTTCTATGTCTGCTTCTACCATGTAGTGTGTTCTATGTCTGCTTCTACCATGGAGTGACGTGTTCTATGTCTGCTTCTACCATGGAGTGTGTTCTATGTCTGTTTCTACCATGTAGTGTGTTCTATGTCTGCTTCTACCATGTAGTGTGTTCTATGTCTGCTTCTACGTTGGAGTGTGTTCTATGTCTGCTTCTACCATGTAGTGTGTTCTATGTGTGCTTCTACCATGTAGTGTGTTCTATGTCTGCTTCTACCATGTAGTGTGTTCTATGTCTGCTTCTACCATGTAGTGTGTTCTATGTCTGCATCTACCATGGAGTGTGTTCTATGTCTGCTTCTACCATGTAGTGTGTTCTATGTGTGCTTCTACCATGTAGTGTGTTCTATGTCTGCTTCTATCATGAAATGACGTGTAATATGTGTGCTTCTACCATGTAGTGTGTTCTATGTCTGCTTCTATCATGAAATGACGTGTAATATGTGTGCTTCTACCATGGAGTGACGTGTTCTATGTCTGCTTCTACCATGAAGTGACGTGTTCTGTGTCCGCTTCTACCATGTAGTGTGTTCTATGTCTGCTTCTACTATAAAGTGACGTGTTCTATGTCTGCTTCTACCATGGAGTGACGTGTTCTATGTCTGCTTCTACCATAGAGTGTATTCTATGTCTGCTTCTACCATGGAGTGTGTTCTATGTCTGCTTCTACCATGGAGTGTGTTCTATGTCTGCTTCTACCATGGAGTGATGTGTTCTATGTCTGCTTCTACCATGTAGTGTGTTCTATGTCTGCTTCTACCATGGAGTGTGTTCTATGTCTGCTTCTACCATGGAGTGTGTTCTATGTCTGCTTCTACCATGGAGTGTGTTCTATGTCTGCTTCTACCATGTAGTGTGTTCTATGTCTGCTTCTACTATAAAGTGACGTGTTCTATGTCTGCTTCTACCATGAAGTTACGTTTTCTATGCCTGCTTCTACCATGTAGTGTGTTCTGCGTCTGCTTCTACTGTGAAGTGACGTGTTCTATGTCTGCTTAAAACCATGGAGTGTCATGTTCTATATCTGCTTCTACAATGTAGTGTGTTCTGTGTCTGCTTCTACCATGGAGCCACGTGTTCTATGTCTGCTTCTACCATGGAGTGACGTGTTCTATGTCTGCTTCTACCATAGAGTGTGTTCTATGTCTGCTTCTACCATGGAGTGTGTTCTATGTCTGCTTCTACCATGGAGTGTGTTCTATGTCTGCTTCTACCATGGAGTGTGTTCTTTGTCTGCTTCTACGATGTAGTGTGTTCTGTGTCTGCTTCTACCATGTAGTGTGTTCTGCGTCTGCTTCTATCATGGAGTGACATGTTCTATGTCTGCTTCTACCATGGAGTGTGTTCTATGTCTGCTTCAACCGTGGAGTGTGTTCTATGTCTGCTTCTACCATGGAGTGTGTTCTATGTCTGCTTCTACCATGGAGTGATGTGTTCTATGTCTGCTTCTACCATGGAGTGTGTTCTATGTCTGCTTCTACCATGGAGTGTGTTCTATGTCTGCTTCTACCATGGAGTGTGTTCTATGTCTGCTTCTACCATGGAGTGTGTTCTATGTCTGCTTCTACCATGGAGTGATGTGTTCTATGTCTGCTTCTACCATGGAGTGTGTTCTATGTCTCCTTCTACTATAGATTGTGTTCTATGTCTGCTTCTACCATGGAGTGTGTTCTATGTCTGCTTCTACCATGGAGTGAATGGGAATCACTTTTTTTTAGTCTGCCTGCTTCCAGCATGACGTTTACAGTTATCTTTTCTTGTTTAATCTTGTAAACTGACATAAGCAGTAAGATGACTTTGATAGTCTTTTTTTTTTAACCGAGTCATTCTCTGTACTATTGTAAACAAGATATCATTCTGTTTAGTTTTGTATCAGCATTGTTTCCTTTTCGACTGTTTCTAGTGAGCACATGCTTCATGTCCTGAATTCCCCTGTGTAGGTTCCGGGGCCCCATTGTGGGGAAAACAAGAATAGACCCACTGCCTCCCCAAAAGCATGTGGTAAGAGTCGACTAATTGGGGAGCTTCCTTTGAAGTCGGAGTGCATCTGCCGGAGAGGCAAGGAACCAACAGTCTGTCTTCAAGAGAATGAGATCTGTAAAACTGATGCACATGCAACACTCAGGTTCTGGAGCAGGACTGCAGTTCAGTAGTGGACGAGCAACCAGAACTTTCCGCCAGAGTGTACAGCTGGTGAACGCAACGAAGAAGATGTCCTGAATTGTAAAACACAAGCCATGATAGATTTCATGGATCTCAAACTTTAAATTTTCCTGGCAGCTGATAGTTAAGCTGCATTCTGAGTGAACAAGTTTCTTCTCCTTCAGCAAAGACCCTCAACAAGCCCAGAGGTGTTGTCTGAACCTAAACATCCCTAGGGCTAGAGGGACCAGGATTGGGACAAAAAGAGCCCAGCAAAAGCACAAAGGCTCTTCACCTGTAACACCTGCATAGATAAGCTGTCATGTGTCCGTTGAATTGCTCTACCTCAAAGAGCAGCACCAGCGTGGAGATTGATGTGGCTACTTTTACATCAAAAGATTCGGCAAAAGTCTGGGGCTAATTGGATTTCCTTTTAGCGCAGTTTAGTTGATATTATTGTTCAGTGCTTGTTCTCACTGGTCTTGGGGTTGTTAGTTGATATTATTGTTCAGTGCTTGTTCTCACTGGTCTTGGGGTTGTTAGTTGATATTATTGTTCAGTGCTTGTTCTCACTGGTCTTGGGGTTGTTAGTTGATATTATTGTTCAGTGCTTGTTCTCACTGGTCTTGGGGTTGTGAGTTGATATTATTGTTCAGTGCTTGTTCTCACTGGTCTTGGGGTTGTTAGTTGATATTATTGTTCAGTGCTTGTTCTCACTGGTCTTGGGGTTGTGAGTTGATATTATTGTTCAGTGCTTGTTCTCACTGGTCTTGGGGTTGTGAGTTGATATTATTGATCAGTGCTTGTTCTCACTGGTCTTGGGGTTGTTAGTTTAAATTGTCTAGTCGTTAACATGATTGTATTGTCAGGTGAGCTAGATGTTTGTTGGGATTGTTCTAGTACCAGTTAAACTACACATACCTTGTATTTATTGTACTGCCAGTTAAGCTACACATACCTTGTATTTATTGTACTACCAGTTAAGCTACACATACCTTGTATTTATTGTACTGCCAGTTAAGCTACACATACCTTGTATTTATTGTACTGCCAGTTAAGCTACACATGCCTTGTATTTATTGTACTGCCAGTTAAGCTACACATGCCTTGTATTTATTGTACTGCCAGTTAAGCTACACATGCCTTGTATTTATTGTACTGCCAGTTAAGCTACACATGCCTTGTATTTATTGTACTGCCAGTTAAGCTACACATACCTTGTATTTATTGTACTGCCAGTTAAACTACACATACCTTGTATTTATTGTACTGCCAGTTAAGCTACACATACCTTGTATTTATTGTACTGCCAGCTAAGCTACACATACCTTGTATTTATTGTACTGCCAGTTAAACTACACATACCTTGTATTTATTGTACTGCCAGTTAAGCTACACATACCTTGTATTTATTGTACTGCCAGCTAAGCTACACATACCTTGTATTTATTGTACTGCCAGTTTAGCTACACATACCTTGTATTTATTGTACTGCCAGTTAAACTACACATACCTTGTATTTATTGTACTGCCAGCTAAGCTACACATACCTTGTATTTATTGTACTGCCAGTTAAACTACACATACCTTGTATTTATTGTACTGCCAGTTAAGCTACACATACCTTGTATTTATTGTACTGCCAGCTAAGCTACACATACCTTGTATTTATTGTACTGCCAGTTAAGCTACACATACCTTGTATTTATTGTACTGCCAGTTAAACTACACATACCTTGTATTTATTGTACTGCCAGTTAAACTAGATATAAATGGATATTTTTGTATTGCTAGTTAAACTAGATATAAATTGGTATTGTTGTATTGCCTGTTAAACTAAATATAAATTGGTATCGTTCTAGTACTACATGTACCTCACATTTATTGTATTACAAGTTAAACTAGATATATATTGAAATTGTTGTATTGCCAGTTAAACTAGATATAAATTGAAATTGTTGTATTGCCAGTTAAACTAGATATACATTGAAATTGTTGTATTGCCAGTTAAATTGATATACATTGGTATTGCAGCACTCAGAAGCTGGACAACAGATTCGAGCAGGACTGGCCACCATTGAGGAGCTCTTGTTATCTCGGCCATCTCGCACAGGCGACTATCGACAGATAACTTCCCCTAGACAAGTGAGTGTTGCTTGAGTTTACAAGTAAGATCCACTTTATTGTGGCAGGTTTTGTCCCAGGTCTCTCTCTCTCTCTCACTGCGGGGTAGCTGACCGTCTGCTGAAGCATCATCCCGAGCATGGCCCCCACATAGTGGCCCAGACATCTGACTTCTTGAGACATGGATGAAACACCAGGTGGAGCTGTGGATGTTACAAATATCCAGTCAGTTGACAGTAGAAAAGAGTAGACCAGACAGGACCTGCTGCCATTACTGTCCCTGTATTTTCCATGGCAGATAGGTCTTTGAGTGTGAGGGTTTAGAGCCACATGGCACGTCCTAGTGGCATGGACTGTACTGGTGGCATGGACTGTACTGGTGGCATGGACTGTACTGGTGGCATGGACTGTACTGGTGGCATGGACTGTACTGGTGGCATGGACTGTACTGGTGGCATGGACTGTACTGGTGGCATGGACTGTGCTGGTGGCACGGACTGTACTGGTGGCATGGACTGTGGTGTGGGTGGCATGGACTGTACTGGTGGCATGGACTGTGGTACTGGTGGCACAGACTGTACTGGTGGCACGGACTGTGGTGCTGGTGGCACGGAATGTGGTGCTGGTGGCACGGAATGTGGTGCTGGTGGCATGGACTGTACTGGTGGCATGGACTGTGCTGGTGGCATGGACTGTGCTGGTGGCATGGACTGTGGTGCTGGTGGCATGGACTGTGCTGGTGGCATGGACTGTGCTGGTGGCATGGACTGTGGTACTGGTGGCACAGACTGTACTGGTGGCACGGACTGTGCTGGTGTCATGGACTGTGGTACTGGTGGCACGGACTGTACTGGTGGCATGGACTGTGCTGATGGTATGGACTGTACTGGTGGCATGGACTGTGCTGGTGGCATGGACTGTACTGGTGGCATGCACTGTGGTACTGGTGGCACGGACTGTACTGGTGCCATAGACTGTGCTGGTGGCATGGACTGTGGTACTGGTGGCACGGACTGTACTGGTGGCATGGACTGTACTGGTGGCACGGACTGTGCTGGTGGCATGGACTGTACTGGTGGCATGGACTGTGGTACTGGTGGCATGGACTGTGGTACTGGTGGCATGGACTGTGGTACTGGTGGCACAGACTGTGCTGGTGGCATGGACTGTGCTGTTGGCACGGACTGTACTGGTGGCATGGACTGTCCTGGTGGCACAGACTGTGCTGGTGGCATGGACTGTGGTAATGTTGGCACGGACTGTACTGGTGGCATGGACTGTGGTACTGGTGGCATGGACTGTGGTACTGGTGGCACGGACTGTACTGGTGGCATGGACTGTGCTGGAGGCATGGACTGTGGTACTGGTGGCACAGACTGTACTGGTGGCATGGACTGTGCTGGTGGCATGGACTGTGCTGGTGGCATGCACTGTGCTGTTGGCATGCACTGTGCTGTTGGCATGGACTGTGCAGGTGGCATGCACTGCGCAGGCAGAATGCACTGTGCTGGTGGTATGGACTGCTGGAGGCATGCACTGTGCAGGTTATGATGTTAATTTTACAGCAGACAGAAAAAATTCATTCACGGTTTTACAGAGAATGTAAACTTGAGTTTCCCTATTCCCTATTCTTGACCGTTTGGCCACAGGGCCGCTGGCTAAATTGATCATTGTTATGTGATGCTATAAAGTTTGTGCCCTGTGCTGCGATTCTCTTGTTGAGATTTCTGGGAGAACACTAGAGCATGTGTGAGCAAATATCTGTGAAAATCATTCTTTACAAGTCAGATATTTGTAACTGACTGCTGTCTCCAAATAGGTTCTGGGGGCCAGTTGGAGGTGGAAGGCGGGGGGGGGGGGGGGGGGGGGGGGGGGGGGGGGGGGTGGTAGACCCACTAGGCCCTGACAAGCATGTCATCAAATGGACTGATCAGGGGTTAGTTGAAATTGAATGTGTTGGACCAGAAAGTGTAGATATTGCAACATAGCTGTAAACCACAACACCTCCTTATAGAGAAACATCAGGACAGTCTGAAACCTGCACATTGATGAGCATTGTAACTTGTGACGGGCAGCTGAGTCTACCACAGTGTGCTGTCAGGGCTCTTAGCACCCCACTGAGTCTTTTAATGAACTTGTATACAATATGTCTGTTCCTTATATTGGTATTTTCTCTGCCTGGTCACAGCTGATGGCATTCAACTCACAAGTGCCCAACGAAAGACTAGAGTCCCCAGACTCTCCTGCCTGGACCAACACAAGCAAACAACCTGAGTACTTCATTGGAGAAGAGGTTTGCTTTTTTTCCTTGTCAGATATCCATGTGTAGCAGTCACTATTGATCATCTTTATCATCATTAATTGTCGTGTCCACTATGAAGGTCAGCTGCAACGAGTCTCCACCTTCTATCCTGCAACTTCATGGTATATTCATACAGGATTCTTTCTGTTCATCTTTTGAGATTGTTCACCCACATGTAACATTGTCTTCCACTTGCACACTTCTCCTTTAATTTTCTCTCCAGCCAATCCCTTAGCAAGGAGCTATGCCATGGCATATTGTTTCCTCGCTGTGCTGACTGGTTGCTAAGGGTTTGTTCATATGACAGACAGGAATGACATTCTGAATTCACACAGTTGGTATCGAGTAGACAATGTCCAGTTAATATTCTTTATTACAGTTTCACAGATAATCTGGTCCAGTCAGTGTCTACTTATACTAGCAGGTCCAGCAAGATAGGGTGACATTTATCAGACATCAACTGAACGTCTTCTCTCGTTCAAACTCGTTACCTTTCAGTCCTGTTTCCTCACACACATAATACACACACTGTTTGATCTGGCAGTTCTGATCATAGTGGTTTGACTTCTTGACCGATTGGAACTGTTTGGCTGCCACTTTGGATTCGACTGTCATCAGGCTGTCATATCGCGGTCTTCTCTCAGAACAGAACTCCACACGTCGTCAAATATACACTGTCACATTCACGCGTTCATCAGATGCAACTTTTCACGCCAGCTTCCAAGTAGACACTAACTGATTAGACCTTTGTCTGTCCTTATAACCCTTGTTTTGGGTTTCATGTGCTGGTCTGAGCCCTGCTTGTATATCTAGTGTTTCTATGAATATTCACGTTCTCATGTATTTCTGTCTTATCTTGAGGTTTACTTCCATATTATTTCGTAGGGAATCCCCACGGGAAAATACCAAAATTACAGCCTCTTGATATGGACAAAGTATCTTAATTGTTTGGCCATGATCTGATTTAATAATTTTTAATTGAATGCCAGTTTTTTGTGTGTGCGGTCGATAATCTTTCATTGAATGCCAGTTTATGTTGTACGGTTGATAATCTTCCATTGAATGCCAGTTTATGTTGTACGGTTGATAATCTTTCATTGAATGCCAGTTTATGTTGTACGGTTGATAATCTTTCATTGAATGCCAGTTTATGTTGTACGGTTGATAATCTTTCATTGAATGCCAGTTTATGTTGTACGGTCGATAATCTTTCATTGAATGCCAGTTTATTGTACCCATTTGTTTTCTCTGGTGCGGTCTTAAGGCTTGGAGACTACTGGATGCATTTCACAATCCTCAACCAACTAGGGTACCATTTCAACGGTGATTAGTTTATTAAAAAAGAAAATGAAAACACACTGTTCTCCTGTCTTTCTGATAACGGTACAGTAGTTGTCTGCATGGTACAATAGTTGTGTGCATGGTACAATTTTTGTCTGCATGGTACAGTTGTTGCCTGGCGCGGACAGAGGTCTTCCCATGTGACATTCCCCTAGTCAGTGTGGATGCACTGCCCCAAACCTTCTCTGTGGGTACACTGCCCCCAACCTGCATTTGCTTCCTTGTATTTGTCTTGTGGCCTCTGATATTATTTACAGGACTCACTTGTATGTTATTTGTTTATTTTCTTTTTGTTTCAGTTGTTCATTTCTGTGTTTTGCATTTTCTGTTTAGTCTTTTTATAAATGTGTTTTCCTCGTGTTAGTTTTGGGAGGAAAAGAAAAGAATCTCTCTCACCTCCTCCAACAAGCATGCTTGTTTTTTTTTTTTTCCGAAGTGGTACACCTGACTGAAAAGTGAGACAGATAAATGTGTCTATGTGATGTTTTGACATTAGCTTTATGTCTTGCAGAAGATAGACTGTCATGATGCTTTTCAAAAATTGTTTCTTTTATATCCTTATATATCAATTGTTTAACACCTTTTTTTTTGATGTTGAATGCTGGTTTTCTTTTTTTAGATTTTTGTATTTTAAAATTCTGTCTCCCAGAGTTAGGATATCTTATAATTCTGTGAACAGATTTTGTACTATACTTCCATGATTCCACATTGTCACCTATAGTTCCATGATGCCACATTGTCACCTATAGTTCCATGATGCCACATTGTCACCTATAGTTCCATGATGCCACATTGTCACCTATAGTTCCATGATGCCACATTGTCACCTATAGTTCCATGATGCCACATTGTCACTTATAGTTCCATGATGCCACATTGTCACCTATAGTTCCATGATGCCACATTGTCACCTATACTTCCATGATGCCACATTGTCACCTATACTTCCATGATGTCACATTGTCACCTATAGTTCCATGATGCCACATTGTCACCTATAGTTCCATGATGTCACATTGTCACTAATAGTTCCATGATGTCACATTGTCACCTATACTTCCATGATGCCACATTGTCACCTATAGTTCCATGATGCCACATTGTCACCTATAGTTCCATGATGCCACATTGTCACCTATAGTTCCATGATGCCACATTGTCACCTATAGTTCCATGATACCACATTGTCACCTATAGTTCCATGATGCCACATTGTCACCTATAGTTCCATGATGCCACATTGTCACCTATAGTTCCATGATGCCACATTGTCACCTATACTTCCATGATGCCACATTGTCACCTATACTTCCATGATGCCACATTGTCACCTATAGTTCCATGATGCCACATTGTCACCTATCTGTTGCCTGTACTTCCATGATGTCACATTGTCACCTATAGTTCCATGATGCCACATTGTCACCTATCTGTTGCCTATACTTCTATGATGTCACATTGTCACCTATATTTCCATGATGCCACATTGTCACCTATAGTTCCATGATGCCACATTGTCACCTATCTGTTGCCTGTACTTCCATGATGTTACATTGTCACCTATAGTTCCATGATGCCACATTGTCACCTATAGTTCCATGATGCCACATTGTCACCTATAGTTCCATGATGCCACATTGTCACCTATACTTCCATGCTGCCACATTGTCACCTATAGTTCCATGATGCCACATTGTCACCTATACTTCTTGTCACCTATACTTCTATGATGTCACATTGTCACCTATAGTTCCATGATGCCACATTGTCACCTATACTTCCATGATGCCACATTGTCACCTATAGTTCCATGATGCCACATTGTCACCTATACTTCCATGATGCCACATCACATATACTTCCATGATGCCACATTGTCACCTATAGTTCCATGATGCCACATTGTCACCTATAGTTCCATGATGCCACATTGTCACCTATAGTTCCATGGTGCCACATTGTCACCTATAGTTCCATGATGCCACATTGTCACCTATAGTTCCATGATGCCACATTGTCACCTATACTTCCATGATGCCACATTGTCACCTATACTTTCATGATGCCACATTGTCACCTATACTTCCATGATGCCACATTGTCACCTATACTTCCATGATGCCACATTGTCACCTATCTGTTGCCTGTACTTCCATGATGTCACATTGTCACCTATAGTTCCATGATGCCACATTGTCACCTATAGTTCCATGATGCCACATTGTCACCTATAGTTCCATGATGCCACATTGTCACCTATACTTCCATGCTGCCACATTGTCACCTATAGTTCCATGATGCCACATTGTCACCTATACTTCTATGATGTCACATTGTCACCTATAGTTCCATGATGCCACATTGTCACCTATACTTCCATGATGCCACATTGTCACCTATAGTTCCATGATGCCACATTGTCACCTATAGTTCCATGATGCCACATTGTCACCTATACTTCGATGATGCCACATTGTCACCTATAGTTCCATGATGCCACATTGTCACCTATAGTTCCATGATGCCACATTGTCACCTGTAGTTCCATGATGCCACATTGTCACCTGTAGTTCCATGATGCCACATTGTCACCTATAGTTCCATGATGCCACATTGTCACCTATAGTTCCATGATGCCACATTGTCACTTATAGTTCCATGATGCCACATTGTCACCTATAGTTCCATGATGCCACATTGTCACCTATAGTTCCATGATGCCACATTGTCACCTATAGTTCCATGATGCCACATTGTCACCTATATTTCCATGATGCCACATTGTCACCTATAGTTCCATGATGCCACATTTTCACCTATACTTCCATGATGCCACATTGTCACCTATCTGTTGTATTGTTTCAGGCTTTGTACATCCACCCAAAGGACAATTACCGTTTGACATGGCCAATGAGACGTGGTCGTTTGAATGTTCATGAAGGCCCAGGCGGGTCCCTGACCTCTGTGCTCGCTGACCTGGAAACAATCTGGGGTCATGTACTCCAGGAGCACTTGGAGATTCCTCTGAAAGATCTAAAGGTGAAGGATGTATTTCATCTATTCGTGACTTGTGTGCCAAGGTCAAGGCAAACCTGTGAGAATGATTACACAAGAGTAAAGCATTATTGGATTAGGTCAGAACTAGGTCACAGATTTATCAGTTGACAGTGCTGAATACCTGTGACTACCAGACAGACTGGCATGTTTAAGAGACAACTGTGGAGGGGTGGTGTGAGACTAGAAAAGTGGTTGCAGATTTGTACCAGTTGTGAATACTACAAAGGGCTTGGTGTGGTTGAGGGTATGTGATCCCTTGGCAGATGAAGACATAGGAAGAAGATATCAGATAGTTGGTTGAATGTCCACACTCCCTTGGAAGATGAAAGCACAGTAAGAAGATATTGGCGGAAGATCTGCACCTCCTTGGGAGATATCAGATGCCTAGGTGAAGAAGATATCAGATGCCTTGTTGAAGCCCCAAACTGCTTCAGGAGTACTGTCTAGAAACTTGTCTGTGGGCCTAAACAGTGAGTCAGATGTTTGTCATTGTTTCCTTGCTGCCAGCCTAAAACAGGTGCCAACAGCTAAAACAGGTGTCATTGCTAAAACAGGTGCCAGCAACTAAAACAGGTGCCAGCAGCTAAAACAGGTGCCAGCAGCTAAAACAGGTGCCAGCAACTAAAACAGGTGCCAGCAACTAAAACAGGTGCCAGCAACTAAAACAGGTGCCAGCAACTAAAACAGGTGCCAGCAACTAAAACAGGTGCCAGCAGCTAAAACAGGTGCCAGCAACTAAAACAGGTGCCAGCAACTAAAACAGGTGCCAGCAACTAAAACAGGTGCCAGCAGCTAAAACAGGTGCCAGCAGCTAAAACAGGTGCCAGCAACTAAGATGGGCCCAATACAAACCTAGACGGAGCAACATTGCATACATGGTCTAACATCATACATCTGATGGGCCCAATACAAACCAAGACGGAGCAACATTGCATACATGGTCTAACATCATACATCTGATGGGCCCAATACAAACCTTGACGGAGCAACATTGCATACATGGTCTTACATCATACATCTGATGGGCCCAATACAAACCTAGACGGAGCAACATTGCATACATGGTCTAACATCATACATCTGATGGGCCCAATACAAACCTAGACGGAGCAACATTGCCTACATGGTCTAACATCATACATCTGATGGGCCCAATACAAACCTAGACAGAGCAACATTGCCTACATGGTCTAACATCATACATCTGATGGGCCCAAAACAAACCTAGACGGAGCAACATTGCATACATGGTCTAACATCATACATCTGATGGGTCCAATACAAACCTAGACAGAGTAACATTGCATACATGGTCTAACATCATACATCTGATGACTTCCGTTTTCAAAATGGCGGACAGCAGCTGTGTTTATTTTCGCGGGCTGTCAATTCTCTCGGATTATTCTGTTCTATAATAATGGACTGCTATTTTATGCGCATTTCCAACGCAGGATATTATGTGTTTTTCGTGGGAACAGCGTGTATTGTGGTTGTGCTGTGTCGGGGCGGGATAATGACCGATAGTTTTGGCAGCCTCGACCACGCTGCCTTCGCAATGTTTTGATCGCGGCGGTCCACTCGGGAAGACAGAATCTCGTCAGCAGGGGACTGCAACTGTCTAGAGAGCAAACTCGATAAAAGCTGTCCCCAGAAACGGAATGTGTCAACCATATATTTGGTGGGGAGGAATCGACACATACGGTTAACTCAATGGCCATGGCCATACATCTGATGAACCCAATACAAACCTAGACAGAGTAACATTGCATACATGGTCTAACATCATACATCTGATGGGCCCAATACAAACCTAGACGGAGTAACATTGCATACATGGTCTAACATCATACATCTGATGGGCTCAATACAAACCTAGACGGAGCAACATTGCATACATGGTCTAACATCATACATCTGATGGGCCCAATACAAACCTAGACAGAGTAACATTGCATACATGGTCTAACATCATACATCTGATGGGCTCAGTGCCTGAAAGGGTCCTTTACTTTTTCTATTAATAACCGGAATCCACAAGACTACATGTAGACTGCCAGTCTTTCCTAAGTGGTCAGATCTCTGGTTGCAACACAGATGTGTTTGTTCTCTCCTGTAGCACTATAGATGTGTTTGTTCTCTCTTGTAGCACTATAGGTGTGTTTGTTCTCTCTTGTACCACTATAGATGTGTTTGTTCTCTCCTGTAGCACTATAGGTGTGTTTGTTCTCTCTTGTACCACTATAGATGTGTTTGTTCTCTCTTGTACCACTACAGATGTGTTTATTCTCTCCTGTAGCACTACAGCTGTGTTTGTTCTCTCCTGTAGCACTACAAATGTGTTTGTTCTCTCCTGTAGCACTACAGATGTGTTTGTTCTCTCCTGTAGCACTTTAGATGTGTTTGTTCTCTCCTGTAGCACTTTAGATGTGTTTGTTCTCTCCTGAAGCACTATAGATGTGTTTGTTCTCTCGTGAAGCACTATAGATGTGTTTGCTCTCTCCTGAAGCACTACAGATGTGTTTATTCTCTCCTGTAGCACTATAGATGTGTTTGTTCTCTCCTGTAGCACTATAGATGTGTTTGTTCTCTCCTGAAGCACTATAGATGTGTTTGTTCTCTCCTGAAGCACTATAGATGTGTTTGCTTTCTCCTGTAGCACTACAGATGTGTTTGTTCTCTCCTGTAGCACTATAGATGTGTTTGTTCTCTCCTGTAGCACTACAGATGTGTTTGCTCTCTCCTGTAGCACTATAGATGTGTTTGTTCTCTCCTGTAGCACTATAGATGTGTTTGTTCTCTCCTGTAGCACTACAGCTGTGTTTGTTCTCTCCTGTAGCACTATATATGTGTTTGTTCTCTCCTGTAGCACTACAGATGTGTTTGTGCTCTCTTGTACCACTATAGATGTGTTTGTTCTCTCTTGTACCACCACAGATGTGTTTGTTCTCTCTTGTACCACTATAGATGTGTTTGTTCTCTCTTGTACCACTACAGATGTGTTTTTTCTCTCCTGTAGCACTATAGGTGTGTTTGTTCTCTCCTGTAGCACTATAGATGTGTTTGTTCTCTCCTGTAGCACTATAGATGTGTTTGTTCTCTCCTGTAGCACTATAGGTGTGTTTGTTCTCTCCTGTAGCACTATAGATGTGTTTGTTCTCTCCTGTAGCACTATAGATGTGTTTGTTCTCTCCTGTAGCACTACAGATGTGTTTGTTCTCTCCTGTAGCACTACAGATGTATTTGTTCTCTCCTGTAGCACTATAGATGTGTTTGTTCTCTCCTGTAGCACTATAGATGTGTTTGTTCTCTCCCGTAGCACTATAGATGTGTTTGTTCTCTCCTGTAGCACTATAGATGTGTTTGTTCTCTCCTGTAGCACTGTAGATGTGTTTGTTCTCTCTTGTAGCACTATTGGTGAGTTTGTTCTCTCCTGTAGCACTGTAGATGTGTTTGTTCTCTCTTGTAGCACTATTGGTGTGTTTGTTCTCTCCTGTAGCACTACAGATGTGTTTGTTCTCTCCTGTAGCACTACAGATGTGTCTGTTCTCTCCTGTAGCACTACAGATGTGTTTGTTCTCTCCTGTAGCACTACAGATGTGTTTGTTCTCTCCTGTAGCACTATAGATGTGTTTGTTCTCTCCTGTAGCACTACAGATGTGTTTGTTTTTTCTTGTACCACTACAGATGTGTCTGTTCTCTCCTGTAGCACTACAGATGTGTTTGTTCTCTCCTGTAGCACTACAGCTGTGTTTGTTCTCTCCTGTTGCACTACAGCTGTGTTTGTTCTCTCCTGTAGCACTAAAGATGTGTTTGTTCTCTCCTGTAGCACTACAGATGTGTTTGTTCTCTCCTGTAGCACTACAGATGTGTTTGTTTTTTCTTGTACCACTACAGATGTGTCTGTTCTCTCCTGTAGCACTACAGATGTGTTTGTTCTCTCCTGTAGCACTACAGCTGTGTTTGTTCTCTCCTGTTGCACTACAGCTGTGTTTGTTCTCTCCTGTAGCACTAAAGATGTGTTTGTTCTCTCCTGTAGCACTACAGATGTGTTTGTTCTCTCCTGTAGCACTACAGATGTGTTTGTTCTCTCCTGTAGCACTACAGATGTGTTTGTTCTCTCCTGTAGCACTACAGATGTGTTTGTTCTCTCCTGTAGCACTACAGATGTGTTTGTTCTCTCCTACAGCACTACAGATGTGTTTGTTCTCTCCTGTAGCACTACAGCTGTGTTTGTTCTCTCCTGTAGCACTACAAATGTGTTTGTTCTCTCCTGTAGCACTAAAGATGTGTTTGTTCTCTCCTGTCGCACTATAGATGTGTTTGTTCTCTCCTGTAGCACTACAGATGTGTTTGTTCTCTCCTGTAGCACTACAGATGTGTTCTGCTTGTCCCGGACATCTACACACACAAACATGTCAAGGCACTGGTCAGTTTGATCCTCAACAACCTGGGCTTTGGGGCTGTCATCGTACATCAGGTAATCTTTTTGAGGTACCTCTTTAGAGCCTTTTTAGTTTCTGAATTAAAGTGACATGATTCTCTGTGTCCCATGGTGCGGAGATAGACTGTGACATAATTATTTGGGCTCTGTGTTGTAGAGATATACTTAACAGAATTCTTTGCGCCCCACTATTCGCAGACAGACTTGATGTAATACACTAGGCCCCATGGTGTGGCGACAGACTGTGACAAAATTCTCTGAGCCACTCAGGTTTACATGTTGCTGTGTCTCGAGCTTTAAATTTGCCTGTTGCTGCGTCACAGTTTTTAATGTTTTTATTGCTTTGTTAATGTTATCTATTGCTGCATCACAGGTTTAATGTTCTCGTTGCTGCGTCACAGTTTTTAATGTTTTTATTGCTTTGTTAATGTTATCCATTGCTGCATCACAGGTTTAATGTTCTCATTGCTGCGTCACAGTTTTTAATGTTTTTATTGCTTTGTTAATGTTATCTATTGCTGCATCACAGGTTTAATGTTCTCGTTGCTGCGTCACAGTTTTTATTGCTTTGTTAATGTTATCTATTGCTGCATCACAGGTTTAATGTTCTCGTTGCTGCGTCACAGGTTTTAATGTTTTTATTGCTTTGTTAATGTTATCTATTGCTGCATCACAGGTTTAATGTTCTCATTGCTGCGTCACAGTTTTTAATGTTTTTATTGCTTTGTTAATGTTATCTATTGCTGCATCACAGGTTTAATGTTCTCGTTGCTGCGTCACAGGTTTTAATGTTTTTATTGCTTTGTTAATGTTATCTATTGCTGCATCACAGGTTTAATGTTCTCGTTGCTGCGTCACAGTTTTTAATGTTTTTATTGCTGTGTTAATGTTATATATTGCTGCATCACAGGTTTAATGTTCTCGTTGCTGTGTGACAGTTTTTAATGTTTTTATTGCTGTGTTAATGTTATCTATTGCTGCATCACAGGTGTAATGTTCTCGTTGCTGCGTCACAGGTTTTAATAATGCCTATTGCTGTCACGTTGCAGGTTTTGATGTTGCGGTGTAGCAAGTTTTCATGTTGCCTGTTGCTGTCTCACAGGTTTTAATGTTGGTGTGTTGCATGTTTTAATGTTGCCCGTTGCTGTCTCACAGGTTTTAATAATACCTACTGCTGTCACATTGCAGGTTTTGATGTTGCCCGTTGCGGTGTAGCAAGTTTTCATGTTGCCTGTTGCTGTCTCACAGGTTTTAATGTTGGTGTGTTGCATGTTTTAATGTTGCCCGTTGCTGTCTCACAGGTTTTAATGTTGCTGTCTCACAGGTTTTAATGTTGGTGTGTTGCATGTTTTAATGTTGCCCGTTGCTGTCTCACAGGTTTTAATGTTGCTGTCTCACAGGTTTTAATGTTGGTGTGTTGCATGTTTTAATGTTGCCCGTTGCTGTCTCACAGGTTTTAATGTTGCTGTCTCACAGGTTTTAATGTTGGTGTGTTGCATGTTTTAATGTTGCCCGTTGCTATTTTGACAGGAGTCTGTGTGTGCTACGTATGGTTCCGGGATCCCTGTAGCCTGTGTGGTTGATGTGGGGGACCAGAAGACAAGCATCAGTTGTGTGGAGGATGGTATTTCTCATAGAGTCAGTAGGTAGGTTCTCTAATGTGAGGAGGATAGTATTCCAGATAGTGCCAGCAAGTAGGTTCTCACATGTGTGGAGGATGGTATTTCTGATAGTGCCAGCAAGTAGGTTCTCACATGTGTGGAGGATAGTATTTTTGATAGTGCCAGCAAGTAGGTTCTCACATGTGTGGAGGATGGTATTTCTGATAGTGCCGGCAAGTAGGTTCTCTAATGTGTGGAGGATAGTATTTCTGATAGTGCTAGCAAGTAGGTTGTCTAATGTGAGGAGGATGGTATTTCTGATAGTGCCGCCAAGTTGGTTCTCTAATCTGTGGAGGATAGTATTTCTGATAGTGTCAGCAAGTAGGTTCTCTAATGTGTGGAGGATAGTATTTCTGATAGTGCCAGCAAGTAGGTTCTCACATGTGTGGAGGATGGTATATCTGATAGTGCCAGCAAGTAGGTTCTCTAATGTGTGGAGGATAGTATTTCTGATAGTGCTAGCAAGTAGGTTCTCTAATGTGAGGAGGATGGTATTTCTGATAGTGCCGCCAAGTAGGTTCTCTAATGTGTGGAGGATAGTATTTCTGATAGTGCCAGCAAGTAGGTTCTCACATGTGTGGAGGATAGTATTTCTGATAGTGCCAGCAAGTAGGTTCTCACATGTGTGGAGGATGGTATATCTGATAGTGCCAGCAAGTAGGTTCTCTAATGTGTGGAGGATAGTATTTCTGATAGTGCTAGCAAGTAGGTTCTCTAATATGAGGAGGATGGTATTTCTGATAGTGCCGCCAAGTAGGTTCTCTAATGTGTGGAGGATAGTATTTCTGATAGTGCCAGCTAGTAGGTTCTCTAATGTGAGGAGGATGGTATTTCTGATTGTGCCAGCTAGTAGGTTCTCTAATGTGAGGAGGATGGTATTTCAGATAGTGCCAGCTAGTAGGTTCTCACATGTATGGAGGATGGTATTTCTGATAGTGCCAGCTAGTAGGTTCTCTAATGTGAGGAGGATGGTATTTCTGATTGTGCCTGCTAGTAGGTTCTCTAATGTGTGGAGGATGGTATTTCAGATAGTGCCAGCAAGTAGGTTCTCTAATGTGAGGAGGATGGTATTTCAGATAGTGCCAGCAAGTAGGTTCTCTAATGTGAGGAGGATGGTATTTCTGATAGTGCCAGCTAGTAGGTTCTCTATGTGTGTGGAGGATAGTATTTCTGATAGTGCCAGCTAGTAGGTTCTCTAATGTGAGGAGGATGGTATTTCTGATTGTGCCAGCTAGTAGGTTCTCTAATGTGAGGAGGATAGTATTTCTGATAGTGCCAGCTAGTAGGTTCTCTAATGTGTGGAGGATAGTATTTCTGATAGTGCCAGCTAGTAGGTTCTCTAATGTGTGGAGGATAGTATTTCTGATAGTGCCAGCTAGTAGGTTCTCTAATGTGTGGAGGATAGTATTTCTGATAGTGCCAGCGAGTAGGTTCTCACATGTGTGGAGGATAGTATTTCTGATAGTGCCAGCAAGTAGGTTCTCTAATGTGTGGAGGATAGTATTTCTGATAGTGCCAGCTAGTAGGTTCTCTAATGTGAGGAGGATGATATTTCTGATTGTGCCAGCAAGTAGGTTCTCTAATGTGTGGAGGATAGTATTTCTGATAGTGCCAGCAAGTAGGTTCTCACATGTGTGGAGGATGGTATTTCTGATAGTGCCAGCTAGTAGGTTCTCTAATGTGAGGAGGATAGTATTTCTGATAGTGCCAGCTAGTAGGTTCTCTAATGTGTGGAGGATAGTATTTCTGATAGTGCCAGCAAGTAGGTTCTCACATGTGTGGAGGATAGTATTTCTGATAGTGCCAGCAAGTAGGTTCTCTAATGTGTGGAGGATAGTATTTCTGATAGTGCCAGCAAGTAGGTTCTCTAATGTGTGGAGGATAGTATTTCTGATAGTGCCAGCAAGTAGGTTCTCACATGTGTGGAGGATGGTATTTCTGATAGTGCCAGCTAGTAGGTTCTCTAATGTGAGGAGGATGGTATTTCTGATAGTGCCAGCTAGTAGGTTCTCACATGTGTGGAGGATGGTATTTCTGATAGTGCCAGCAAGTAGGTTCTCACATGTGTGGAGGATGGTATTTCTGATAGTGCCAGCAAGTAGGTTCTCTAATGTGTGGAGGATAGAATTTCTGATAGTGCCAGCAAGTAGATTCTCACATGTGTGGAGGATGGTATTTCTGATAGTGCCAGCAAGTAGGTTCTCACATGTGTGGAGGATGGTATTTCTGATAGTGCCAGCAAGTAGGTTCTCACATGTGTGGAGGATGGTATTTCTGATAGTGCCAGCAAGTAGGTTCTCACATGTGTGGAGGATGGTATTTCTGATAGTGCCCGCAAGTAGGTTCTCTAATGTGTGGAGGATAGTATTTCTGATAGTGCCAGCAAGTAGGTTCTCTAATGTGTGGAGGATGGTATTTCTGATAGTGCCAGCTAGTAGGTTCTCACATGTGTGGAGGATAGTATTTCTGATAGTGCCAGCAAGTAGGTTCTCTAATGTGTGGAGGATGGTATTTCAGATAGTGCCAGCTAGTAGGTTCTCTAATGTGAGGAGGATGGTATCTCTGATAGTGACAGCTAGTAGGTTCTGTAATGTGTGGAGGATAGTATTTCTGATAGTGCCAGCAAGTAGGTTCTCACTTGTATGGAGGATAGTATTTCTGATAGTGCCAGCTAGTAGGTTCTCACATGTGTGGAGGATGGTATTTCAGATAGTGCCAGCAAGTAGGTTCTCACATGTATGGAGGATGGTATTTCAGATAGTGCCAGCAAGTAGGTTCTCACATGTGTGGAGGATAGTATTTCTGATGGTGCCGGCAAGTAGGTTCTCTAATGTGTGGAGGATGGTATTTCTGATGGTGCCGGCAAGTAGGTTCTCTAATGTGTGGAGGATGGTATTTCTGATGGTGCCGGCAAGTAGGTTCTCTAATATGTGGAGGATGGTATTTCTGATGGTGCCGGCAAGTAGGTTCTCTAATGTGTGGAGGATGGTATTTCTGATGGTGCCGGCAAGTAGGTTCTCTAATGTGTGGAGGATAGTATTTCTGATGGTGCCGGCAAGTAGGTTCTCTAATGTGTGGAGGATAGTATTTCTGATGGTGCCGGCAAGTAGGTTCTCTAATGTGTGGAGGATGGTATTTCTGATGGTGCCGGCAAGTAGGTTCTCTAATGTGTGGAGGATGGTATTTCTGATAGTGACAGCTAGTAGGTTCTCTAATGTGTGGAGGATAGTATTTCTGATAGTGCCAGCAAGTAGGTTCTCACATGTATGGAGGATAGTATTTCTGATAGTGCCAGCTAGTAGGTTCTCACATGTGTGGAGGATGGTATTTCAGATAGTGCCAGCAAGTAGGTTCTCACATGTGTGGAGGATGGTATTTCAGATAGTGCCAGCAAGTAGGTTCTCACATGTATGGAGGATGGTATTTCAGATAGTGCCAGCAAGTAGGTTCTCACATGTGTGGAGGATGGTATTTCTGATGGTGCCGGCAAGTAGGTTCTCTAATGTGTGGAGGATGGTATTTCTGATGGTGCCGGCAAGTAGGTTCTCTAATGTGAGGAGGATAGTATTTCTGATGGTGCCGGCAAGTAGGTTCTCTAATGTGTGGAGGATAGTATTTCTGATAGTGCCAGCAGTAGGTTCTCACATGTGTGGAGGATGGTATTTCTGATAGTGCCGGCAAGTAGGTTCTCACTTCTCTATTCACTAGTGTAGTGCTCAAGTGTGAGCTTACTGCGATGGAATACTTGCAGTATTTGCTAATGTAGTGCTCAAGTGTGAGCTTACTGCGATGCAATACTTGCATTATTTGCTAATGTTGTGCTCAAGTGTGAGATTACCGCGATGGAATACTTGCAGTATTTGCTAATGTAGTGCTCAAGTGTGAGCTTACTGCGATGGAGCACTAGCTATTTTCACTAGTGTAGTAATGTCAGATTAATGTGTGTGCAAAAGACGCTGCATAGGTTATGGTTATCTATTACAGTATTTTGGATGATCGCTTAGTGTGAAAACTAACATCAGCTATTATTAGTGAAATTGGCAAGTGACTGGCACAGACAGACGTCATAAGTTCATTAGAAGTAGATTGAAGTGTGTCCAATAAACGATGAATATTGATGAGTTATCTGATTCCTGGAGGATTTACATGAATACACAATGAATTCTGTCTCATGTGCTCTGTATAGTAGGGTTTTTACAGTATCATACAATTTTACAAGTAGCTGGATGGTGAGAATGTGTAGTATTTGGATGATCAGCTAGCTAGTCAAGTGTTATAGGCCTCATAGAAGACACGTGATAACACAGGTATAAACTGTGCTTTTGCAGACTTACAATGGAGTTTGGTGGGAGTGACGTCAGCAGACTCTTCCACTCACTGTTGGCCCGGTGCGGGGTTGCCCTGCCAGAGTTGAACCTTAACCACCCGGCTGATGTTGTACAACTTCAAGCTCTGAAGGAAACTTGCTGCCATCTAGATCAGGTTGGCCATTTGTGTTCTTTGTGTGCTATATTGCCAGTCTCACAACAGTTGTTCTGTTCCTGTTACCATGGCTCCAAGACAATAACAAACCAGAGAAAGACATTATCATGGATCTCCTTGCATGATTGAATCTTGTGAGAGGGAGGTGGCAAACTTCTACTAGATATCAGCAAGTGACAGGTTGCAGAATGACCCCCAGATGTGTGTGAACTGGTAGCAGTTCTCTTAGGTAAACACGGCATTGAAATACCCTGGTGTTTCACTGTGGAAGCATCTTGTAAACGTCACCTGCTATAAAATTAAACAACAAAGAGGGACAGTCAGTTTGCTTGTGGCTGTAACCAAAACATGGCTGCCTCGAGAACTCAAAAATCAATTATGTCAGACCCCGTTCGGATTCCTGAACAAAATCTTTAAAAAACACTAATAAATCAGTTAAAATGTATTTATCAACATTTTAAAATTATTGTTCAAGATAGATAGAGATATAGGAGTCATTAATAACAAATGCCAGCGAAAGTTGAAAATAAATGTCTGAGAAAAATCTGGAACATAAACAGGGAGGAATTCACATCAGAGACATTGCTGGGCAAATACCTGTATCAACTGCAATAAGACAAAGAAGGTGGAGATATATTGGGCACACTCTGAGACGAAATGAGCAAAGAATTAAATAGGTACTGAGATGGGAAACAAAGGGTCTCAGAAAAAAGGACATCCAAGGAAAATATGAAGAAGACGATTATTACAAGTCAAAATATCTGGGCTAAACTCCTTGTCAGAAATGGAGAAAGTTGCATGCAACGGAGCAGGGGGAGGGACGGGGATCGAATGTGAGCCCTATGTAATATCTGACGCACACAACGTAAGATGGTGAATTATTAAAAATCAACAGGGTGAAGCATTCAGTGGAATATATTCCTCAGGACCTACAGAACACATGTATCTAGTGGCTCCAGCTATGTCCCTGAGACCTTTACTACTGAGGTCAGTCTGACCTCACCTTGATTTTAAAGAAAGCCATTTAGCACAGAGGAAAACCCCTCTAAATGCTGTTGTTAGTTAATATATTCATATTGTGACTCCCGAAACCTTTGTGCAGACGTGAACTCAGCTAACTGCATTAATTCTGCACCTTGTAAACGAGTCATGATAGGCAAGTCGGCAATGGGATATTTACAGGGAATTAGACTCAGCTGGAAGTGTCATTTGTTTTTAATTTTTGTTTCTCGAGGTGAAAGGGTTTTCAATTCTGCACAGGGTTTTATCACATATGGCTCAGTCTCTCTTCGCAGAATAGTTAGCTGCCTGCCGAGAGTGTCCCATAACGCACCAACTCCGTAGCTGCGGCGATGATCCCCAAGAAAACCCATCCACATGTTAAAGTGCTAAACTGTGCCATTGGGACAATCAGATAAATAAATGCTAACATCAAAGACACTGTATGTTGTTTTCATATGTTGTACTGCTAAACTTGAACCCTGTTCTCTTGTATCTTCTCTACTGTAGGAACAGTTTGGTATCAGCCAGCACACTCTAGAGATACATCGACCAGACAAGACGCTCATCAGGTACAACGTCAAGCTAGGGGACGAACCCATTCTGGCACCCATGGCTCTGTTCCGACCCATGGCTCTGGGTCTCATCGGGGAGCATTTGATCCGCATGCAGGCTCGATCTGACGGGGATAGCGAAGACCCTCATGACGAGGACTACTTGCGACAGACTCAGAGACAGTCTTGGGTGAGTTAGTTGTGGCGGTGTGATGTGATTTCTTCATGTGTTATGTTGACAATGTAAACAAAACCGAAACAATGCAAGTTAGTAGAACCCCTGCCCCACATACAGCTGAATGGTTCTGCCCTGAATCAAGTTAGGGAGTTTAAATATCTAGGAAGTATGACCACAGAAGATGGTAGAATTGACAGAGAAATAGAAACCAGATGTCAGAAAGCAAGTGTACTTATATACCAATTGTCACCATTATTAAGACATTCAAGCATTACTATGAGTGCAAAGAGACAGATTATAAACAGCATATTAATTCCAACATTAAGCTACCAGTGCCAAACATGGACACTATTTAAAGCCCATATACGCAAAATCACCACCTGCAAGATGAGGTGCCTGAGAAAAGAAGCCAACCTAACCATACGAGATCGAGTGAATAATGAAACTATCAGGCAAATTGTGGGAACAACACCTTGTACTAGATTCATCAAAAACAGCAGATCAAGTGGCTTGGCCATCTCGTTAGAATGCAGCAAGATCAAATACCATCACACGCACTACATCTCAGAAGATCAGCTACAAGAGCAAGAGGACGGCCGTGGAAAACATGGATCGACAACATTAAAGACACTCTACGCGTTCACGGCATGACAATAGCCAGTGGCAGCTAAAGTGCACTGGATCGCAAATTATTCCTCCCCACGACGCTTAACGGCAGAAGTGGTTTATGATGATGATGTTATGTTGACAAGGAAATTGCCCAAGAGAAGCCCTTTGACAGTGTGCCAGCGGTCCAAGGCAGAAGAGTGCACTGGGGAGATTACTACTGTATGCTATAGACATATACTCTCATATACCCATTCATAAATATAAACATTAAATACTCATTCATATACTACGTTCATACCAAACAACAAATGCTCATATAAATATTAGACACACACACACACATATACACCCTGTCATACATACACTGGCTAATATGTACACATTCCTACTTACACAAACATACACTCACAAAGACACACACAGCACAGATCCTCACTTATACACATACTCATCCATACATACTCACGCACACACATATGCAAACACAGTAAGTTATTGATCTGCCACGACCTCTTTGCTTCAAGTTGGAACACAATCAGAATCCCAGGCTGTAAACACCAATGTAAAACATAACTTCATGGTTCAGCTTGCTACATGCAATGTTAGGATTATATGACCTGAAGTATTTAGGTGGATTCCGTGTAACAGGATGCTATGGACTGTTGCATGGAGGGGAAGTAATCAGGATGGGAATAAGGACAAAGGAGAAAATGGTTTCAGATAAAGAGCCGAGTGTCTTGGAAGCACATGAAATATATGAAATGATGGCAATGTCCTGGCGTGACATTCTCTAGTTGGAGAAGACTTTCAGGTCTTGTTGGCACACATGGTTGTGATTGTACTTATGATGATTCTCATACCTCTATATGGTTGTGATTGTACTTACGATGATTCCCAAGCCTCTGTATGGTTGTGATTGTACTTACGATGATTCCCATGCCTCTGTATGGTTGTGATTCTACTTATGATGATTCCCATGCCTCTGTATGGTTGTGATTGTACTTATGATGATTCCCATGCCTCTGTATGGTTGTGATTGTACCCTGTGACACTGTTGTCAGGAGACACAGATGACTTGTTTAAAACCCATCTCCTCTTATTGTCTAAGGCTGGAAGAATTGCAGGGTCAAAAAAAGATAACACTGACCTGTCCAGAGAGACTTCCGAACAGAACTTAAGCCAGCTGGATGACCTAACAAATGGCCCTCTAGACGACGACTCTAATGATGTCCCTGATATTCTCTCAACTACAGGTAATCATTTCTGACATTTCAGGTAATCATTTCTGACATTGTCTTCTTGTTTCTCTCTCTAATGACGTCCCTGATATCCTCTCAACTACAGGTAATTATTTCTGACATTGTCTTCTTGTTTCTCTCTCTAATGACGTCCCTGATATCCTCTCAACTACAGGTAATTATTTCTGACATTGTCTTCTTGTTTCTCTCTCTAATGACGTCCCTGATATCCTCTCAACTACAGGTAATTATTTCTGACATTGTCTTCTTGTTTCTCTCTCTAATGACGTCCCTGATATCCTCTCAACTACAGGTAATTATTTCTGACATTGTCTTCTTGTTTCTCTCTCTAATGACGTCCCTGATATCCTCTCAACTACAGGTAATTATTTCTGACATTGTCTTCTTGTTTCTCTCTCTAATGACGTCCCTGATATCCTCTCAACTACAGGTAATTATTTCTGACATTGTCTTCTTGTTTCTCTCTCTAATGACGTCCCTGATATCCTCTCAACTACAGGTAATCATTTCTGACATTGTCTTCTTGTTTCTCTCCGCTACAACTGTTGTTCTTGTCACACTCTGGTGGTTGAGTGGCATAATTGACTATCTCTGCACTTTAGCAGTCTGTTATGTCTGGGGTCTGATTTAATTTACTGGCAGTCACCTATAAACCTGAATAGCTTCCACATAATCACCAGGTCGCTGCCTTCACAGCTCATCTGGGAGAGAGGAAACAACAACTACACATCACTCACATCCCTCTCCAGTTGTGTCTTAAATATAGTTAGCCTATCTTCATGCTATCTGAGCCTGTCTTCATGCTATCTGGGACTGTAGACAGTATTGCTACAGGGAAAGCTTCAGCATATCTGTCACATTATATCTACATGTGCTAGAGACCAGGGTTTATCACGATACCAACCATGGAAAGCTGCAAGTATTTATTTATACCTTTCATTGCAACATTCCGTGTATAAGACGACCCCCAGTCAATTTTTAAATAAATGGGGGGGGGGGGGGGGGGGGGAGATTGTTTTTGTCTTATACACAGACAATTACAGTAATGTAGTATTATTCCTCCTGTAAGCTGCTGTCTTAAAGCTTGATAATCCCTGAGATTTTGGCAATCTCTTTCTGGATAGCAAAGTTCAGCTGAGAGCACTGATAATGGTTACTTCAACCCTGTGGGAGTAAGGAATGAACAAACCTGGAATGTTTCAGTGTTGGCTTTTACAACATAGGACAACTTACAATGCAATTTTATCTTGCCTGAAACGACGACTTAGTAGTCCAGTCAGTTGCCCAACGAGATAGCGCATTGAAGACAGTTTCACAGATGAAGATAGGATGAGTTGCCCAACGAGATAGTACATTGAAGACAGTTTCACAGTTGAAGATGGGATGAGTTGCCCAATGAGG